AGGGTCAAGGTCTAGGGGCTGTTCCTGCTCTCCTGCTCTCTGCAGGAGCACCTACTGCATGCCTGTCCTTTTTCCAGGGCCCAGGGCAGCCAGAGACACAGCCTTGGGGTCACCCCCAGAGAAAGGGAACAGGCCATTCTTGAGCCTTCAACATGCTGTCTGGGTAAAATCAACAGCAGTGTGTGGCACATGGCTGGGACTCTCAGGGGACATGCTCCTGCAGCTATCTTCTATGTCAGTAACAACATGGAGCCTTTCCCTCTTCAAGCCCCACTTTCCATGCCCTCTTCCTGTTGCCTGCTACTCTTCCCTAGAGGAAACCCATCTTGTTTTAATGCCACTGAAACCTCAGAGGATCTGGTCCCAATTAAATGACTTTCCTTGCAGATGCTTTGGTGAGCACTAAATGCTTGAGACCCGGTGATTCTGAGAAGGGGATAGAGAAGGAAAAGGGGGGAAGGGGAGCACAGCACCCCAAACTGGACAAGGGTGGCTGCAGATTGGGTGGAGGGTGCCAGTGGAGGGAGGACTGCAGAAGGTTGCACGCAGCTGGGACCGGCCCACAGGGAATAGGGCCATGGTCGGGATGGGGGCAGAGTAGGGGCCAGTTTCCCACCCTTCTTGCCCGTGTGAAATTCAAGTTCGTTCTCGCCCATAACATGGCTTCACTGGACTCAGTGTGAAAGCAGCGCCGCCCTGCCCCCTAGGGTGGGCGTCAAGGATCTTGGCAGGGGACGGAAGGCGAGACGAGAAGGCGAGGCAGGGAGTCCCCTCCCCCGGCAGCCCTCCCCCGGCAGGCCCTCATAGCGGCACACGTTCGTGTTCCCATCCTGGCGCCCTGGCCTCCCTCTCCAGACGCATGTGACTCAGCCCCACCGGCCTTGCCAAGCCGTCTAGACCCGAGCGTCTCCCCGCGGAGGGGGCGATCCCGCCCGCCGCCGTTTCCTTTCCCTCCGCCGGGGCTGCTGCGTCCCGCGCACGTGCAGCCGCGCGCGCCCCCCGCCCCGCCCCCGTCCGCCACCTCCCGCGAGCCGAGTTCACGCGCAGCCGCTCGCCCACGCTGCGTCCCCTCCCTGGTCCCCGCTCCCGCCCCTGCCTCACGCTGTGCTTCTACTGCATACACGCAGTGCCAGGGCAGAAGCTGGAAACCCAAAGGTCCCCAGGGTCCCAGTCCTTCCCCCTCATTTTTGGGGCCCGGGGCAGGAGGACAAGTATGGACCGCTGGGCCACTGCCTCCCCGCCAGCCAGACTCTGTCCGCATCCCCTACAACCACCTCTGGCCTCAGAGCAAGAGTTGCCCTGCAGGATGTGGTCTTACAAGAGCCTGTGGCCTGGTGGGCAGGACAGGGCAGGTGATAGTGGCACCTCCAGGCCCACTGGAGATGATGGTGATGGCAATGGTGGTAGCATGTGGGCTGCACTGAAGAATGTGCTTGTTGTGCTGGAGGCCTGGGGGCAGGATGGGGCAGGTGAGGGCCTCTCAACTTCAGGAGGTGAGGGTGGGCCCAGCAGAGGGACTAGAAGTGACAGGAAGAGGAAGCCAAGGTCCCAAGGCAACCTCCCCATTCACATACGGCACTAGACTCCAAAGATGAACACAGAGGCCGAGGAGAAGAAAGTTCTAGAGTCGAGTCTTCAGGTAGCTCCCAGATGGACACTGTAGTCCCTCCAGAGCTAATGCCACAGGTCGAGGGACTCCCCCAAGCTAACAGCCACTTTCTTGTCTCATTTACAAGGCCCTCACCCCTGCTTCCCTGTTCTGCACCCCTTCCCCCATCTTCGAGGGAAGGGCTGGGTTTTGGGTGGGCTCCTGGCTGGTGCAGATGGCGTGGGCTGCCCACAGACCTGGGCACTGAGCCTGCATACCAGGACTCGGGGTGGTTGGATGACCAACAGCTCAGCCTGGCAGCGTAGCAGCAGAGAGGTCCCAGGAAGAGAGGGAGGAGAGGAGGGGGAGGAGAAGAGGGAGAGGAGAACAAGAGGGGGAAGAAGAGAGAGGGCCAGGGGAGGGAGAGGAGGCAGAGGCAGCCTTCTGGCTTTGCCTTGCCTGGGGAGAGCCTCACACGCAGATCGTCCTCAGCCTGATCTCATTACTCTGTCGCATTCTCCCCCAAACCCAATGCCAGGCCTCTCCACTTGCTTCTCCCATGGGTGTGATCAGCTTCCCATCTTTGATCTGAACTCTCCCCCAAAACATCACACATGCACACACACACACACACACACACACACACACACACTTGCCTTGTCTTCAATAGCTTGCGTTTGGTGCTCTCCACCCTCACTGAGGAACTTTAGGGGCGGGGGAGGGGGTGAGTGAAGGCGGACACTTCAGTCCCTCAAAGGCTCCTCCCTAGGTTCCCTGGTTCAGGGCCGGAGCAGAAGTGGCCTGTGCAGCAAGGCTTTCCAGGGCTTTAGCTCCGACAGCATTCCAGGCCTAGCCCCCCAGGTGGGGCAACTCCCCCTTGGATCTCACTCCAGCCCACGCCGGAAGCGGACTCACCTCCGCAGAGAGGAAAGCCCTCGGACTTCGGCTTCCTTTGATCGGTGGTATCTTCGGCAGATTGGGGGGGCTGGCTAATTCCCACTGCATCCTGGGGTCTGTCCTAAAGGTCATATGAACAGCAGGGCCCACATGCTCTGAGGACTTTTTCAACAGCCTCCACAGGTCAGGGAGGCTGCCCATTCAGTGAGCCCAACCGCTGGGCCACCACAGAAACTGAGGGTCTTGAACGCCTCCAGCGCCAGCCAGCCCATCTCTGGCATGGCGGGGCCAGTGCCTGTCAACTGGTCTCATTTTTCAGCCTGTTTTCCAAGCACTGACACACAGCTGAGGCCCTGCTGGGACGCATGGCCAAGTTTCCCCCATGACCAGGAGCTTGGCTGTCGCTGCGTGGGACACCCGGGTCTGCCCAGGACTCCCCAGCTCTCCCCCGACATCCACAGCTTCCCCCCCATCCCTCCTGCAGGTCAGTGGGTCCTTCAGTCACATTTTTGGCCCCTGACCCCCCCAGGCCTCCCTCATAGGCCCCAGGGGCTCTCGGCTGGAATGCCCCTTAGAGATGCGCCCCTCCCTCCCCCATGCTAGGACTCAACCCTCCACATCACACCCACCCACCTCCCTGGGCTTATAGACCTCCTAGGACCAGGAGCCCTTCCCTCTCCAGGCAGCCACAGTTCAGACACTGCTTTTCGGGAGGAGTGCTGTCTTGCATCAAGCTTGAGTCCACATTTCCAGAAGCTTTTACCTCTGGGCCCCTTCTTCCCCACTTCCTGAGAGACCCAGCAGCCTCTGTTCCCTCCCCAGCCTCCAGCTTTTCCGGAGGAAGATGCCTGGGAGCTGCTATGATTCTGGTGGTGGGTGGCGGGTGGTGGGTGGCGTGGGCAGGGAGGCCGCCTCCTGCTGCTGAGTCTTCCGAGACCATCTCCTTGGGCTGAGAGCTGGCCAACAGGTTCTCCATGCAGGGGGATGCTTCCATCACCTCTTGAGATGGCCTCCTCTCAAGAGCCTGCCAGTTCCTCAAGATCCCATAGACAGAACTGCTGAGGTGGGAGAGGCCTGTTTAGCACACAGACTCCATGGAGCTGGGTGGAGGAGGGAGATTTTCTTCCCAGTCCTCAGGAACAGAGGCTGTGAGGAGGGGGAGGGCTGGGGGAGGCTGCCACACTGCCGTGGTTTCTTCCGCCAAATTCCCCAGTCCTAGGAAGGATCCACAGAAAAACCCACAAGAATTTGAATGTCTGAGCTGGGGCTGTGACTGAAATGAAATTTTCTGAAAAGAGAGAAAGAAAAACAAAAAACAAAAAAGAGGGGAAAAAGCTTTTTTCAAAAAATCCCAAAGCCCCTGACAGCCCTCAGCTTCCAGAAGGGCCTGAGGCGGCAGCCACGTGAAAGGACGGAGAGAGACCCTGAGGCATGCCACCGGGTCCCAGACTCCTGGCCATGCCGTCTTCGCAGGACAGAACGAAGTCCCCTCCTGTCGCTTGGATGATTGCAGGTCCTTGGGTTTCCCTGACTCTAGACTTGCCCCTTGATCCCATCCTCCAGGAGGTGGCAGGGCAGGGCGCAGAAGAGGGGCAGATGGGCTCCTGGGCACAAGCCACCCTTCAGCTTCTTCCAGCCTTGTCCAATCAGCAAGTCCCAGGGTAGGGAGCATTCAGCGAGCTGGGGGCTTGGCAGGTCTGGGGGAGGAGGGGCTGACATATTTCACTGCAGACTCATTGAGTTTGAGGGGGCTGAGGGTTGTAGACAAATTTGTAGGTAGACACGGTAGGAAGGAGTCACAGATAGCCCCGGGAGCCGTGAGGGGAGCAGGGCCCAGCATAGATTATAATAGTGAGCATTTACATGGTGCTTTGCATGTGCCAGGCCATAGGAATTATTACTGCCTGCCATCCTCATTTGCATCCCAGTGGGATAGGTGCTCTCATTGGCCCCATTAGGTGAGGGCAAAGAGGCGCAGAGAGGTTAGGTAACCGGTTCAAAGGCACACAGCTAGTGAATGACAAGAAATTTCCTTCTAACTATAGTGTGAGCATGGTGAAGAGAAGACAGAGCCCCGCGATGGGAGAGGGCGCCTCAGTCCCACCTCCATTCTGCACCCAAGACTCCCCCTGGTTTTCCTGGGAACTAGGGTCCCCTTAGTGGTGGCCCAGGAGAACCGATCAAGGCGGGAGCGCCCCCTCCTGGAAGAGCCTCGCTTCGACGCGTCATCACTCCCAGCCGGCGGCAGGGGCGACGACTGCAAGGCCTGCGTCTGAGAGCCAGCTTGGCCCGCTCGCCCCGCCCGCTTCCCTCTGTCCGCTCCGCCAGCTTCCCAGTGTTCGCCCCGCCTCCTTCCCCGTGGTCCTGCCCCTGGGTGGTGCCGCGGCGGGCGTGAGAGCCCGGGAGCCAGCCTGGTGGAGCCGCGGCCCAATGGGAAGGGTAGGTGGGGGAGGGGGCGGGCCGGAGCCGTGCCCGCCTGCCGGGTGGCCCCGCCCCACCCCGGCGCAGGCAGGTGGGCGGAAGAACGTTGGAGGATGATTGGCGGCCGTGCCTGCCTGTGAGGCCAGGGCGTGGGCGGGGCGCGGCTCCGAGCGCGAAAGATGGCGGGGCAGGACGGTGGCTGCGGCCGCGGCGGCGACTGCTACTCAGAGGACGAGGGCGACAGCAGCGTGTTCAGGGCGGCTGTGGAGGTGTTCGAGAAGCTGAAGGTACTGCGGGCCCAGAAAGGCTGCGGGCCCAGAAACCCACTCTAGGGCGGGGTACTGGTTAGGGCACTGCCCTGGGCCCCGGCGGGCTTGCTACGGAAGTCCGCGGCACCGCAAGGCCACTGTCGCTCGTTCCGGCTGCGCACTGTTCCCCCGCAGCAGGGGATGCTTGTGGATCATTCATCTTTGCTCTTTGCGGTGCCGCAGGCCTTCGCTCTTGCCGTCTCCATGGCCCTTGCCTATTAGTTGGGGCCAGCGCCGCGTGTGGAACTGCAGTATCCGGGCTGGGCGCTCGCAAGTGCAGACACGGAGGACGCAGGCCTGGCCTCAGGGATCTTGCGGGCCTGGGGGGAACAGATGGGCAGAGCCCCGTGCCACTCTGTCAAGTTAGCGAGACTAGGGCTTGGTGTCACTTGGTGTCACATACCAGGTGTCTGGCCTCCAGAAGCCCTCTACAGCGCCGTGGTACAGAGCACTCACTGCAGCAGTGACAAAAGCTGGCCCACAAGGTGAGGGACCTGTCCCAGGTCCCTTGGGCCTGCTCACTCCTCCCCGCAGCCACTCCCCTCATCCTGTCTTCGACTGGCTCAGTGGCCCCTCTCCCTCCCTCCCCTTTCCCTCAGTCTCGAAGCCTACGGCTCTCTCTAAAGTCTCAGGTCTCAGTCTCAGGTGTTGCTCCTAGGTCCTGCTGCCACAAGAACCCAGAGTGGGAGCACATGAAGGAGGTGGAGGCCGCATGCTGTGAGAGATGTGGGGTTGAGAATTGGGGGACTTGAACTCTTGGCAAGATGGCAGGACGCGGGTAAAGGAAAAGGGCTGGCGTGGTGGCTCACGCCTGTAATCCCAGCACTTTGGGAGATTGAGTTGGGCAGATCACCTGAGGTCAGGAGTTTGAGAGCAGCCTGGTCAACGTGGTGAAACCCCGTCTGTACTAAAAATACAAAAATTAACTGGGAGTGGTGGTGCGTGCCTGTAATCCCAGCTACCCGGGAGGCTGAGGCAGGAGAATCGCTGGAACCTGGGAGGTGGAGGCTGCAGTGAGCCGAGATTGCACCATTGCACTGCATCCAGCCTGGTCGACAGAGCAAGACTCTGTCTCAAAAACAAAAAACAAACAAAAAACATGTACACTGGAACCTTCAGTGAATGTTGCTTTCCTTTTCATCGCTTAGGACCTAAACTGCCCCTTCCTCGATGGTCTGTATATCACAGAGCCAAGGACAATTCAGGAACTGCTGTGCAGCCCCTCGAAGTACCGCTTGGAGATCCTGGAGTGGATGTGTACACGGTAATGTGTCGGTTTTTTCCTCTTCCCACTTGGGGTGTGCATGCGCGCCACGCAGCCCCATCTAGGAGAATGGGGTTTGTGGTTACTGTGAGTAGCTGTCCTCCCAGAGGGCTCCACCCACTAGCCTGCACTCCTGTGAGAATAGCTGTGTAGGTAAGAAGTGCTGGTGACAAGGCATGATTGAACTGGGGTTAAAGTAGCCCTTGACAGTGCTGAGCTAGTCCAGCCACCCCTTTGCCGCAGTGCTGAACTCAGCCTCAGTGTTGGCCTTGCTTTAACTACAAGTTCAGAGGTTCAGGACTGGCAGGTGCCTGAGAAATGTCCCACTCCAGTCCTTTCATTCTCAGACCGGGAAGCCAGGGGTCAGGCTGGATGTCTTTGGCCTTGCAGTGGAGTGACAAGCATGGCCAGGGCATAGGCTCCTGCCTGGGTCTCAGCTGGCCAAGTGGCCCTCATACAGTGTTGCCTCTTGTCAGCTTCTGTGCTGTGACCTGTTTCCTGGTCCTCTGGTGCCTTTGGGTCGGGGTGTAGCATGGTGTATGCCTGGCACCATACGAGGCCCATGGTGACAGGGCACCTTCCTGAGTGATGGCAGAGGAAATGATCCAGAGCGTTCCATGGCCAGGGAAGACATCCTTGCCCTGGTGACGCGGTCCCTGAGCTGAGCATCTGCCTCACAGCTGTGGATGGAGAGCACAGGCTCCTGTGGGATTGAGTGTATGCCACGGCGGTACTCTGGAAGGGCTGTGGTCTGCTGGTACGGGAGCCACTTGTGAGGCCAGGCCTGGGCCTCCCCCTCCTCAGCCTGTGGCCTTCCTGCCCACGCTGCTTGAGGAATGGGCCTGGGTGGGGAGCCTGGCAGTAGAGCGGCGAGGTGCCAGCTTGTATCCAGCCGGTCTGGCCCGCCAGGACCAGGGACATCAGCAGGATGTCCAGCTGGATACAGGCTCCCAGAGGAAGGAAGGGACGTTTTTGTGTTTGAGCCCTTGCCGTTCCAGCAGTGTCTCCTGCTTCCGCCTTCTAGGCCCTTCCTCAGGCCCCTCCCCAAGCCTCGCCCCATAACCTTTTGCTCTTGCTCACATTGTTTCCCCTCATGGAAGTGCCCTTCTGGTCTCCGCATGTCGCACCTACTCCTATACGGCCATCAAAGACCCAACTCACAGGTCCCATCTCCTTTGAAAATGTATTCCTCTTCCTCTGGATGCCCACAGCCTCTTGAGCACATCCGGCCGCTGCTGGAACACTCAGCCTGTGGGTGCTGTCTTGGCCTGCTGTCATTTCTGGCTCTTCAGTGTGGGAGCCACAGCATGGTGTGGACACGTAGCCAGGGAGTTCTTCAGGCTGCACCTGTGTGTCATACTGGGTGCTGCAGATGTGAGTGGGTGTCCTCAGGGAGCTGGGTATTTAGTGGGCATGAGTCCTGGGGTCGGGCAGAAATAATGCGCAGCACTGCAGTCTGAGCTGGGTGCCGTGGATGTTGGCAGGGAGGAGGTGGCGTGTGACTGGGAGGGGGATGGGTAACGGCGGGTGCTCGTGTGGACAGGAGCAGGAAGCTGAGGCGTGGGAGAGAGCTGGGCAGCTGCAGCCAGATTGGCAGCTCAGGGCAGCTCCCTCAGAGCCTTGCTGCCGTGCCCAGGTCTTCGAGCTTTATATTCTGGGCAGGGCAGGCATGGGACCTGGGGAGCGACATGCTGAGATTGGTATTTTGGTAAGGTGACTTGGGGTGCTCTGGGCAGATGGATTTGAAGGGCAGTGGCTGCAGGCAGGGAGACTAATACCCCAGGGAAAGACCGCAGGAGCCCGGCCCGGAGTGGCAGGCGGCTTGTCTGGCAGTCACTGCTGGCCCTGGAGGGACTGGCATCTGGCCCGGGAACCTAGTAGGTGGGGCAGGACTGGAGGTGGCTGGGTAGAGTGTGGCTGTCTTGAGCGAGCTCTCAGGAGGCTCTTATGGGAGGGGAGCGGATTTGCCCGGCTCAGGTGGAAGCTGGGGGCACTCCGGGAACTGGGTCATCTGCTGGCCAGAGAGGGACAGGTGGGAGGCCAAAGCCACATCCCTCAAATGCTTCTACAGGTTAAGTGTTCCATATCTGAAATGTCTGGGGGCCAGAAGTGTTTCAGATTTCGATTTCTTCGGATTTTGGAATGTTTCCATTATACTGGTTAAGCATCCCTAATCCGAAAATCTGAAATCTGAAATGCCCCAATGAGCATTTCCTTTGAGTGTCACATTGGCAATCAAAAAGTTTCGGATTTTGGAGCATTTCCGATTTTCAGATTAGGGATTCTCAAGCTGTAGTGCTTCTGTAAATACCAGAAACAGAATCCTTTTGAAAAGCTGCCAGGGAACAGATAACGGCACTGTCTGATTTCAGCTTGGCAAGAGTTTAAGAAGGGCCTTTTGAGGGTCCTCCAGGAGAACTGGGAGGATGGCAGTTTGCCTCCAAATTTCTCATTGCCTTTCTTTGCCCGTGGCCACACCCTGGCAGCCCTGTTTAGGGCCGCCTTGCCATCTCCTGGTAGAGCCTGAAAGCTGCGCCTAGCGTTGGCCCTTGGTGTCGGGTGGGGCAGAGCTTGGAGCCCCTGGATGCTGGAGGTCAAGGCCCTGTGGTTTCCTGGGGGCCTCCAAGGCCTCCAGCACTTTCCTTTCCTGCTCTGCCCCCTGCGGTGACGGTGCAGTGCTTTGAATGACAGCCTTTACTGAGTCAGGCTGCTTGGGCCTCTGCTGCGTGTTCCGGGGATTACTGTGCCCGGGATTACTTGTGCAGTGCTGGGTGAGTGTCCCCTGCTCCACCGGGCCTTGTGCTCAGGGACGTTCCTGGCGACCCCTCTGGCAGAACCAGCTTGCTGGTCACTCTTTTTCTTTCCCAGTCCTGCTTGCGCAGACCCCGCCGTTGTCTTAATAAGCCATGGAGGCGGGTGGTACGGCAGAGGCAGCCAAGCCTGATCTCTGCTGCAGTCCTGGGGCAAGTGTGGCCTCTCCAGGGAACAGCCACTAGCCCTTTTCCCACCACATGAGTCAGCAGGCCCCTAGCGTGACAGCAATGGCGGGGTGTAGCTAGGGCAGCCTGGTGGAAAGCACCTCCTTCTTGTTTGTGGAAGGCTGCTGTGGCGGGAGGCACCTGGGGCTCCCTGGTCAGAGCCTGTGGCCCCAGTGGCTGGAGTAATGTACCTGGGCCTCAGTGTCATACTGGCCTTGAGGCTCGGGGCTGGTGGTGTAGCGCCTGGGCTGTACTGCCCTGAAGGAGCAGACCCAGTGGAGGGCTGAGCCTTGTGTCACCTGCGGCGCATGTCTGGGCATTGCGGGACTTCCTCTCTTTCATGCACTGTGCATCTGGACCTGGTTTTGCCCACCAGATGGCTTTTAAGGTGGCATGCTTCTGAGTGGCGTGCGGCAGTCCGTGCCCAGGGTGATGAGCCTTCACTGGATTCTGTCGCAGCAGGAGCCCCCACATGGCTGAAAGTAGGCCTCACAAGCCTTTTCTGCAAAGGACTGGGTGGGAAGAAACTGCTGTACCCCAGGAGCTGATGCCCACCCAGGTGAGGCTAGGGAGGACACCAGGAGCCCGGGGCCAGCCCTCAAAACCCGCTTGCACCGCCATTTCAGCGAGGAGCCCTGGGTGCTGGCGGCCTCCCTCTCGGCCTCTGCTGCAGCCGTCTTGTTGTTGTTGTTGTTTTGAGAAGAATTTATTTTCATTTTAGTGTTTAGAGTCACATTTCCGAGGTATACTTTCTCGAGTTTTCTTTTTCTTTCTTTCTTTCTTTCTTTTTTTTTTTTTTTTTTGAGACGGAGTTTCGCTCTTGTTACCCAGGCTGGAGTGCAATGGCACGATCTCGGCTCACTGCAACCTCCGCCTCCTGGGTTCAGGCAATTCTCCTGCCTCAGCCTCCTGAGTAGCTGGGATTACAGGCACGTGCCACCATGCCCAGCTAGTTTTTTGTATTTTTAGTAGAGACGGGGTTTCACCATGTTGACCAGGATGGTCTCGATCTCTTGACCTCGTGATCCACCCACCTCGGCCTCCCAAAGTGCTGGGATTACAGGCTTGAGCCACCGCGCCCGGCTCGAGTATTCTTTTTCTAATAATTCATGGCAACGAAATCATGACATGAAAGCAACCATTTGAAAGTGAGCAGGTGCACAAGGAATTTAGTTTTTCAAGCGCGTCTAGAGGCCCAGGGGCTTCTCCAGCTGTCTGCGGCCTGACTGGCTTTGCTCTTTCCCTGCAGGATCTGCCCCTCGCTGCAGGACAGGCTCAGCTTGCTGAAAGGGGTCCCGACAGAGGTGAAGATCCAAGGTAGGTGCAGTCCTGGTGTATCCTGAGCTTGTCCACAGCCTCCTTATTGAGTGGTGCGTGTTCCATCGGAGCGGTGTTTTCCTTAAGGTGGTGCACATGGTGTGGATGTTGCGAGAGCCTTCTCCAACCCCAGCCTTCCCTAGGCATGACCCCGTGGGAGAGCTCCTCTTGCAGGGACCTAGAGTCATCAGCCCCTGTGGTGCTAGTGGCCAGAGACAGAGATTCTTGCCGATGCCACCAGTGGTTCCATCTCCCTGTGTCAGTGGTGTGTGACCCGCTGTGTACAGGTGGCATTTCTGGGGACATGCCTGTTGCTCTCCAGTGGGGCTTGTTTTGTAACCTCTGTTCCATCACTTCCTGGTAGAAACTGTACTGAACCTGGTAATGAGTGTTAGATAAAGGTGAGCAAAATTGCAGTCCCCAAGTTGGGGGCTGACATTCTACCTTCACGGTCATCTCTCCAGAAGTTGGTGGAATGCCAAAGGTCAAATTTTTCATGGACCTGTGTCCTTTCTGGCCACTCCAGGGTAGATAAGCTGGACCCCGGAGTCCTGATCTGGGCCCCAGCTGGTGTAGCCACATGAATTATCTGGGGTCGATTGTCCCGTGCTGAGGCGGGCCAGGAGAATGCGGCATTGTCTTGGAGTAGCCAGTGGGCTGGCCTGGACCACACAGGGGCATTGCCCTTTTCCCCGGAGCTGCCGTGCCTGGTACATTCCAGATTCTCTGACCCACACCAACACATGTGCCACCCAGCCCAGCCTTAGCCCTGATACCGCCACTGCCATCCTCAGTTTCCTTTCCTGTCAAATGGGGGTGAAATCCAGCCTTTGCCCATCATGGGAATATACTGTCAGGCTTGTCAGAGTGCGGGCAGGAAGAGGGTGGGAGAATTCTCCATGCACCTGCTATCGAGAAGTACCGGGAACAGCTGAGGGCTGAGTGGTCCCGTGGGGGCTGGGGAAGGGTGGTGCTGTTGACATAAGATGGCAGGAGGGGTAGAAACCAGCCCGGCACGTGTGAGAGGAAGAGCATGTGCATAGGGTCCCAGTGGGCTTGTGCCTGGCCGCTTGGAGGCACAGCGAGGAGGCTGGTGTGGCTGGAGCGCAGGGAGGGCAAGGAGTGAGGTGGGAAGTGGATGGGCCAGATCAGGCCAGGCCGTGTGGGCCATGTAAGGATGTGGGCTTTTACTCCGAGGAAGGCTGCGTTCTGCCGTTGGCTGTAGTGAGACTCCTAGCCCACGGTGCTGGGAATAGGGTGCCTGGGGAAGAGGCAGAGAGAACGGTGTGGGGCTGTTGCAGTGAGTGGCCCAGGTGAAAGTTTGGAGGGCAGTGCAGGAGGCAGTGCTGGCCAGATCTGGATTTCTAGCGTGGGGAGGGTTGGCTGGACTCGCTGAGAGGAAGAGAGGGATCAGGGAGGACTCGAGGATGTAGGATTAAGGGCAGTGGTGGAGCAGGCTTTCCTGGGTGCGCAGCTGGCATTTGTGGTGGGCCTGGGGTTACTGAGTGCTTCCCCATAGACTCTCTGCTTACTTCTGGCAACAAACCCTCCAGGACTAGGTGGAGGGACAGGCCTGGCACCGGCCCCAGGCTTTCTGGCTCCAAGTTACTGAGAAAATGCCCTGGGCGCCCTGGCAGATGTGACTGGATGGTTTGCAGTGTGCAGGGCCCCAGGCTCCCCGAACATGAAATGGAACAAGGCCTACCACTCCCGGGGCTGCCAGCAGATGAGAGCAGATGATGGCATGAGGGCCCTCAGGACATAGCCAGGTGGGAGTGGTGGTTCCGTTTGCTTTGGCCTTGGGAGGTCTCAGAGGGGGACACACGGTGCACCCTGGAGGTTTCCTGACCCCTGTCCACTCCTCAGCTGCTGGCTTCTGCTCAAAGCCAGAATGAGTGACCCCAGACATTGGGAGGGCCTCGGGTGCAACCCCTCATTTTCAGGCAAGGAAGCTGATGCCCAGAGATGGGTGGGGCCAGTCAGCAAGAGGCAGCACCAGCACCTGGGTACCTTCTACCTGCCTCCTGGTCCACCCTGGTCTCCTGTCCCTGGTCCGGCCTATGGGTGCTGGGCTTCCTGGGTGTCTGTTGTCTCCTGCCATCTGGGAGGTGCCTGCCGTGATGGGCTCTTTGTGTTTCAACAGAAATGACAAAGCTGGGCCATGAGCTGATGCTGTGTGCGCCAGATGACCAGGAGCTCCTCAAGGTAAAAGGGCCCCTGTCTGTCCTGCAGGTGACATGCATACTTTCCACCCTGGGCGGGGGACCTCGTGGTGCTGGCTCAGATGGGAGGCTTTTCCTCCCCTAGTGCCTTTGAGGTTCCTCAGGCTCCAGGGCGGGCTGGGTGCCCAGGCAGGCTGCTTCTCCAGGCATCCCTGGGGCCAGGACTGCTGGGATTCCCTTGGGTAAAGCCTGGTTGTCCCTGGGGCACAGTGGGGAGGGCAGCCATGCAGGTAGGGGCAGGTCTCTGTCTTCTGATGACCAGTGGGATGGAGAGTGTCCTGTCCTTGGTTGATGATGTGATTCTTGCCTGGTACTGTGCTGAGTGCTGTATGTGCCAGTCATTGTCACAGCCACCCTCGGCAGCAAGGGAGAGGACAGGCAGCTCACCTGAGGTCACACGGTGGCAGAGCCAGGCCTCACATCCCAGCGCCTGGCTCCCATGCCCTTGGGGCCTGTCTGGGAGTTTCTCCTGAGGCCCCTTATCTACCCTGAGATGGGTCAAAGAAACCCCAGCCCCCACCTTAACGTTTCTAAATTTTGAAATAATTGTTTTCACTCCATGATTATGAGTAATGCTGCTATGAACATTCTTGCATATGGTTTTTGACTGAACATGTTTTTTTTTAAAAAAATATCTGAAGAGATTTATTCATGTGACTGATGGCCTGTGACACAGTCCCAGGAGTTCCTGCAAACATGTGCCCAAGGTGGTGGGGCCACGGCTAGGTTTTATACAATTTAGGGAGACATAAAACATCAGTTGATAAATGCGAGATATACATTGGCTGGTTGAACACGTGTTTTCAGTCCTCTTGGGTGTATAGCTAGGAATGGGATTGCTGGGTCACAGGCTTTTCCAGTGCAGTGGCGCCATCTTCCTTTTCCACCAGCAGTGCGGGAGAGCTTCAGTTCATCCTTGTCCTCGCTGGTACTCGCTAGCGTCCATCTTCTTGATTTTGGCCACACTGCTTGGTGTGGGGTGGTATCTCGTGGTTTTTATTTGTATTTCCCTATGACCAATGATACAGAGTATCTGTTTGTGAGCTTCTTGGCCATTTCTGTATCCGCTCTGGAAACATGTCCACACTCACGTCCTTTGCCCACTTTTTAATCAGGTCACTTGTCCAGTGAGGTTTTTTTTTTGGTTAGTAGACTTAATATTTTAAGGCAGTTTTAGGTTCACAGCAAAATTGAGCAGAAAACACAGAGGTTTCCCACAGGCCCCCTGCCCCACACATGCACAGCCTGTCCCGCCGTGGACACCCTGCACCCGGTGGCTCCGTTGTCACAGTCCCTGAAGTAGCGTGGACATATCGTCACCCAAAGTCCATATCCAGGGAGTCTTTTCTCCTGTGGCTGAGAGTCCGTGGTTTTTCATGTGCCACGTAGTTCTCTGTACATTTTGGCTATTACCTTGGCTCTGGGTCTTGCTAAATTGTATGGAGAATGTATCGGCTCTGTTTCCACAGCCTTTGCACGACTCTTTGGATCCCCGCCCCGTGTGTGCGCCACCCAGTGGTCACCCTGGGAGTTTTTGCTGGGTTCACCAAGATTAGATCCACCCATGCACAGGTGGGCCTGAGCCCAGGTGTTATAAACAGATTTGTGGGGTCACTTTCTTAAGCTGTTTCCTCTCCGCTCTCTCTTCAATACTTTCTAGTTCCCTGGGGCTCCACTTTTTCTGTTCTCCAGACATAAACCACCCACTTCTGTGATTGTGGCGGCACGGTCAGCTCCCGGTGACTCTGCAGGAGAACTTGGAATCCTGGTGTTCCTACCTGACCCACCTGCCCTGCCGCGGGCGCTCTGCACTAGCTTTATATTTCCACATTTGCACTGAGGCAAAATGTACTTTACATAAAATCTACCATGTCAGCTATGAAAATCAATTTCCCAGCAGGCCTGTGGGAGCTTGCCTCGTTTTAAAAAATTTTTTTGGAAAACGATGGTGAAATATGCATCACCTATATTGTACCGCATTCACCATTTGCAAGTGTGTGGTCAGGGGCGTGAGCACACTCCGGTGCTGTGCAGCCATCACCGCCATCCAGCCGCAGAACCTGTTCATCTTCCCCAACTGAAGCTTCTCCTCCATTAAGCCGCATTAATGCATGTCATTTAGTGGTCTTTAGTACATTCACAATGTTGTACGACCACCGCCTCTATCTAGTTCCAAAATATTTTCATGACCCCAAAAAGAGACCCTGGACCACTGTGTAGCCACTGCTATTCCCCACAGGCCCTGGCAAGCCCTGAGTTACTGTCTGTCTGTCATCAAAGGTGAATGCGGGAATATGCGGCCTTCGGTGACTGGCTTCCTCACTGAGCGCATGGTTTTCAGGGTTTGCCCATGTTACAGCAGCACGTAGCAGGATTGCATTCCTTGTTATGGATAAACAGTCAAAGGAATTGGAGAATTCCATTGGCATTATTGAGACCTGGGAGGTAAAGGAGGGAGAAAGGAGCTACAGATTTAAGATCATTAGGTAGGGTCATACCTTGTAGTCCTGAGTTTTCATTGGGAATATCAGTGTGAGCCCCTGGGCTTCAAGCGATCCTCCCACCTCAGCCTTCTGAGTAGCTGGGTTCACAGGCATGTGCTACCACACTCAGCTAATTTAAAAAATTTTTGTAGAGGCGGGTTTTACCACGTTGCCTGAGCTTGTCTGGAACTCCTGGGCTCAGGCGATCCTCTCACTTTAGCCTCCCAAAGTGCTGGGATGACAGGGGTGAGCCGCTGTGTCCATCCTCCTAATATATTTTTAACTTAAGAAATATGCATTTCCTTATCCTGTGCCCTGAATGTGTCTAGAACAATAGCGCCCCGGCTGTAATACAGGCAGGAACACAGAGAGCAGTACTCATCCAAGACTTAGAGTCACGTCTGATGGACTCAGGAGCCAACTAGCAGTAGTTAAGAGAGGGGCCAGTGCAAGCCTCCTAAGCATGGTGGCTGCAGTAGACGGGCACCCTTCACTTACACCCAGATCCAGGTGTTCAAAGTCACGTTTGATGAAGTCAGCAATTTGACACTAAAAACATAAGCGACTAAAGAAAACACAGATCAATCGTACTTTGTTAAAATGAAACACTTTGGTGCACCAAAGGATACCATCAAGAAACTAAAGAGACAGAAAAACCTACAAAATGGGGGAAAAATGGTTGTAAATCACATGACTGATGAGGGACTTGTATCCTGAATCTATTAGGAACCCTTACAACTCAATAAGAAAGACAGAGAACCCAGTTCGAAACTGACAAAGTATCTGAATAGACATTTCTCCAAAGAAGATGAAGAAGTGGCTGAGGAGCACATGTAGAGATGCCCAGCATCACCGATCGTTAGAGCAGCACGCACCCACCATTGTGAGATACAGTTTACACACACGAGGAGGGTTAGACTCAAAAAAGGAAAGGAGGCCAGGCCCAGAGGCTCATGCCTTTAATCCCAGCACTTTGGGAGGCTGAGGCGGGAGGGTCAGTTGGTCTCAGGAGTTGAAGACCAGCCTGGACAACATAGCAAGACCCTATCTCTACAACAAGTAAAAAATTAGCCGGTTGTGATGGCACACCCATGTAGTCCCAGCTACTTGGGAAGCTGAGGCGGAAGGACTACATGGAGCCCAGGAGTTCAAGGCTTCAGTAAGCTCTGATGGTGCCACTGCACTCCAGCCTGAGCCACAGAGCAAGACCCTGTTGCTTAAGAAAAAAAAAAGGAAATTAACAGTGTTGACCAGGATGAGGAAAATTGGAACCCTCCTGCGTGGCTGGTAGGAATGTGGAAAAGTCTGGCAGTTCCTCAGAGATGTCAACACACGGTTACCCTGTAACCTAGCAGTTCCACTCCTAGCTGCACACCCAGGAGAAGCGAAAACATAATTGCACACGGAATCCTGTACTTGAGTGTCCGTAGGAGTGTGATTCTTAATGGCACACAAGTGGAAAGAACACAAATGTCCCTCAACTGGTGAATGTATAAACTAACTAGCAATATTAAGGAAATCAACTGCTGATCTGCACTGTGACACGGGTGATCCTCGCCAGCCTCGTGCTGTGTAGTAGTCCAGATAGGCCAGGTCAGTGCTGCGGGGACGTGGCGTCCCCAGATCGCCTTGGAGTGCATGATTGTGGACAGCACCGCCATGCAGGCAGTTAGGCCACCCAGCGCCGTCGCCCCTGTCCTGGGTGCCCTGAGCTTCTTGCACTCGTGCTCCCGAATCTGCCTCAGTTGGATGTCATGATGATGCTCAGTCTCTATTGCTATTGACAGTGTTGCCACAGGCTGTTCTAAGGAGCGCACCGGAACATGCTGGCTCAGCCGGCTGTTCCAACCGCTTCCTTCACCAAGCCCCCCAAGGAGCATTTGCATGGCAAGTTGGCGCTGAAGGCACAGGCCACAGTGAAAGGGCTGAGGTACTTCCAGTGGCATTTCACACCCCGTGGAGTTGGCCCTTTTGACGTGATTAGGCTGTTCAGAGCTTGAGAGGCGGGCCTGGCTGGGGGCCTTTCTGGAGCAGGCATAGCCTCTCAGGTCCTGGGGCTCATCGGCGAGCCTCCTCCTTTTTCTGGAAGGAGGAAAGAGCTGTGCTTCTGGAAGCCTTGAGCTCCTGGCTGGGTGGCTTCTGTGGGAATCCCACTCACCTTTCTGGCAAGTCGGGGACTGAGTCAGCGCCTCAGGAGCTGCTGCTCCAGGAGCCTGGGCCTTCCGGGCTGGAACGCCAGTCCCCTGGCTGGAAAGCAGACCACCTCCCAGCCCACTCCTATCGGCTTCATCTGTTCCCAGCTGGGTGGGTGATCTATGGAGGAAAACGGGTCTTGTCCTGGAGGTGCCCCTGTGGGCTGTGGGCTGTGTTCTGTCGCAGCTGGCCCTGCTGTGTGCTGCCCAGCTACACCACAGACACACGCTCCCATCTGTTTCTGTAGCACTCAGCCCTTTCCGGTATGTGGGGCCAGCATCATTACAGGCCAAGGCGGGGACCGGGCAGGGAGCACTTGCTAGTCCAAGACATCGCCGGCCAGGCACAGGGGCATTGATGGGCCAGGCCCCTCCTTTCCACTGGCTCCTGGCTGGGGTGGCGTATGGGGGCAGGGGCACTGGGGACAGCTGGCATTGACCTGGCTTAGGTGGAGCCAGTGAATGCCTGTGGCCCTCCCTGCCCAGGGCTGTGCCTGCGCCCAGAAGCAGCTGTACTTCATGGACCAGTTGCTCAACGTCATCCAGAGCCTGACTGTTGGGTGCTCCAGTTGCTCGAGGTAAAGGCCCAGGTTGGCAGCCTTGGCGGGCTTGTCTTGGTCCTAGTTCTGGAGCTGGTAGGGGCTGGGGTGTCACTCCCTCTCTGGTGCTGGGTCAGGCGGGACACCCTCCTTGGGGATCTGGCCAGCCAGTCAGGCGCCGGGCAGTGTTTGGGCAAGGAGTGGCTGTATCCCAAGGGTGCTGACTGCTGCCCAAGGCCTCGGGGGTGAGTGTAAAGGTGGGGTATGGGGCTCAGAGCATATGGGCCAGGCACAGAGGAGGGTGAGCACGTAGGGTGCCCCGTGGGTGGGTGGATAGGTGGGCTTTTTGGAGGAGCCAGAGCAGACAACGTAGGGCAGGATTCCGAGCAGTGCGGCTCTGTGCCTAGCCCCATGTGCCTCTAGGGTCTTCCCTGTGGGGCCGAGAGCCTGCTGGGCCAGTCCTCTGGCCTGTGACAGCATGGCCCTGGGGCTACCTTTGCAGCCTGATGGAGCACTTCGAGGACACCAGGGAGAAGAACGAGGCCTTGCTGGGGGAGCTCTTCTCCAGCCCCCACTTGCGGTTGCTCCTGAATCCAGAATACGACCCGTGGCCCCTGGACATGCAGCCCCTCCTCCATAAGCAGAGTGAGGACTGGCAGTGGTACGTGCTCCTGGAGGCCTCAGCAGCCGCACCCTGGCCTCCTGTGTCAGCCCCGGCCGCTCGGTTCTGTCACTGCAGCCACTGCTGGCAGTGGGAAACTGCGAGTGTCCCCTTTCTCCCTGCAGGGCCAGCGCCTCTGCCGAGTCCGAGGAGGAAGAGAAGCTGGCGAAGCTGGCCAGACAGCTGCAGGAAAGTGCTGCCAAGTTGCAGGCGCTTAGAATGGAGGTGAGGGTGCTGGCTCCTGGGAGGGGGCCTTGAAGGCAAGGCCCTGCTTTGTCACTTCCTCCAGCATGTGAGGCTTAAGCAAGGTTGCTTGTGCTCTGGGCCTGACGCGTTCTAGAATGCTATGGTGCTCAGTTCACGTGGAGGTAAGAGGCAGGTGCTGTGGCTCCGGGAAGGGATCGGCCTCGGGTACTGGGCGGTGCCCACTCTTGAGCACGTTGCCTTGTGCCTTGCCGCATGTGACCCTCCTGGTCTGGCCTCTGTTTGATCCCAGAGGAGACCGGGACCCACAGGAGAGTGAGTGACGGTCCTGAGTTGCTCTGTATAGCTCCCCTGTCTCCTTGTTTCTGGAAGCTTTCTTCCTTGCCCTGACCGTGCGGTGTCTGGGGCGAGGGCTGGTGGCAGCCTGGTTGGTAGGCAGGGCAGCCTCGAGGGACTCTGCCTCTGACTTTGCGGTACTTTGCACAGCACGAGCAAGGGGCCGCTATGGGTGCGGCCGGTGTTAGCACCCTAGACCAGAAGCTGCGTCTTGTCACCTCTGACTTTCACCAGCTCATCTTGGCTTTCCTCCAAGTCTACGATGACGAGCTGGGCGAGTGCTGCCAGCGTCCCAGCCCTGACCTCCACCCCTGCGGCCCCATCGTCCAGGCCACGCACCAGAATCTGACTTCCTACAGACAAGTAAGGGGCCCTTTCTCTTTCCACCCCCCTCCCCTGTTCACTCAGACCGAGAGCTCATACCCTGCTTGTCCTCAGGGACCTTAGCAGCCCCTGACAAGGGACCACAGGGCCAGACCGGGGGCTGGGAGGGGCTGGGCTGGGCCCCCTGTGGACCAGTGGCGTGGCAGGGCTCTGGGCCATCACTGGGCTGGGGCACGTGCTGCTTCTGGTCTGTGGACCCGCCCATCTCAGCAGGCAGTAGCTAGGCCTAGATTTGGCGTGGGATCCTGCATGTCCTTGCCTTCAGCTGCTGTCCCTGTGTTGGCCTCACTGTTTTCATGTTATGCTCCAACATAGCAGGGTCCATTCATTCTTGTGTATGACCAAGAACTGTGCCAGGCAGGCAGACAAACGCCTGCCTGTCTGCCCTCGAGCCTGCTCAGACGGGACGGGAGGAAGCGGGCTCGTCAATGTTTGCTTGTTTCGTTGTTCTGCATGCGGGATCCCCAGAGGCCAGCCTAAGAAGCCAGCTTTAGTTACGATGACTACAGTTGCCATAGGTGCGACTCTGCTCTTGGCTCAAGGGTTCTGTGATGTTTATTTTGATTTTTAAACTGAGAGGCTCCAAGCCTTCCAACCTCTGACTGGCCAGGTCCTGTGAGAATCCCTGATCAGGGATGGTGAGGCCACAGACCTCTCCTGTCTATTTTTCTTGGAACATTTATTTTCCCACCCTGCCAATTGCTTGGGCTGGGAGGACACGCAGTGCTGGCTGGCATATTCCCAGGCACCGAGGGTTACCAGAGTGACATGATAGTGTGGCATCCCCACCGGGCCAGAAAGAGGGGACTCAGGTTTGAGAATTCTGATTGGTGACTTGCCAGCTGGGAGTTGTGTCCCTCACCCTTGGCTATCTTTCGGGTAAGTAGTACCCGATCAGTGTGAACATGGGTGGGAAGCAGGAGACGCCATCGCTAGGTCAGACGAGCGGCATTTAGTGCCTGCTCGCTCGCTGGCTTCCTCCCTCCCTCCCCAGCTGCTGCAAGTGATCGTTGCAGTCGCTGACACGTCTGCGAAAGCTGTGGAGACCGTGAAGAAGCAGCAGGGTGAGCAGATCTGCTGGGGCAGCAGCAGCTCCGTCATGAGTCTAGGTACGTGGCCACCCACTTGCTCCTCCGCCTGGGGCTGCCTCATGTGCGGGCTTCCATTTCTGTGCTCCTCTAACCCTGGGGGAGCATTTGGGGACTGGCCCCTTCTTTAGTTTTTCATTTGCGAATGCACGTTTTCCTTCCCTTGAAAACATGCTTTCAGTGGATTATCAAAAACACTCATCGTAGAAAATTGAGATAACCCAGTAATAGAAAATGTGAAGCAAATGATAGCAAATGTCGGAATGGAATAGTATTTGGCAATGAGAAACATTACTTGGGCCAGGCATGGTGGCTCATACCTATAATCCCAGCACTTTGGGAAGCCGAGGAGGATGGATCACTTTGAGCCCAGGAGTTTGAGACCATCCTGGGCGACATGGCAAAACCCCATCTCTACTAAAATACAAAAACTAGCTGGGCATGGTGGCATGCACCTTCAGTCTCACTACTTGGGAGACTGAGGTGGGAGAGTCATTTGAGCCCACAAGAGGGAAGTTGCAGTGAGCTGAGATCATGCCACTGCGCTCCAGCCTGGGTGACAGAGCCAGACCCTGTCTCAAAAAAAAAAAAAAAAAAAAAAAGTTACTTAAGGAAAATGGGAAAATGCTTATAATGAGGGCCATCTTCCCAGAGTTGATTTTTGCATATGGAATGAGATAGGGGTCCAGTTTCCTTGTATTATATATGGATACACATTTGTTGCAGCACCATTTAATGGGAATCACTCTTTCCCTCATTGATCTATAATCCCATCTATCTTGTTAATTATTAAGTGTCCATACATTATCTGTGGGTTTCTGAGTTCTCCTCTGTTCTGTTCCCCCCTTTTTTTTTAAAAAAAAAAAAACTCTCTCTCCACTAATATCAGATTTCAGTGGCTAAAAAATAAACAGCAAAATAAACTCATAGAAAGAAGGTAAAGCCAGTTTTCTACCTCTTCTAATTTATGTTTTAAATAGCAGCTCTACTGAATTATAACATATAAAATGTACCCTTTTAAAAGTGTCCAGTTTCACGGTCTTTAAGATATTCACAAAGTTATGTAAGCATCCCTTCATCACTGTCCCTAAGTCCGGAAGAAATCCCATGTGATTAGCAGTCCCTCTCTGTCCCTCCCTAGCCTCAACTCCTGGCAACCATGTCATAGAGATGCTGTCTGTCTCTATGGATTTGCCTGTGCTGGGCATTTCCTGGAAATGGAATAACAATATGTAGCCTTCTGTGTCTGGTGTCTTGCACTGAGCATAAAGTTTGGTAAGCGTTATCCATGCTGTTCATTCCTTTCTATTGCTGAACAATATTTGATTGTATGTATATTCTACATTTTGTTGTCGTTGGTAGATATGTGGGTTGTTTCTACTTTTTGGCTATGTACATTGTAAGTCTTGTGCGAACATATTTTTCTTCTCTTTTTTTTTGAGACAGAGTCTTGCTCTGTCGCCCAGGCAGGAGTGCAGTGGTGCAATCTCGGCTCACCTCCGCCTCCTGGGTTCAAGCGATTCTCTTGTCTCAGCCTCCCAAGTAGCTGGGATTACAGACACCCACCACCATGCCTGACTAATTTTTTGTACTTTTAAGTAGAGATGGGGTTTCGCCATGTTGGCCAGGCTGGTCTTGGATCCTAACTTCAGGTGATCCATCCCCCTTGACCTCCCAAAGTGCTGGGATTATAGGCATGAACCGCCACACCCAGCCTCTTTAACTCTGTTTTTTAAAGTTATTTTTTGTGGTTGCCCTTAGAATTACAGTTAGTATCCTAACTGAAAACAGTCTAGGACCAAATTAATTTCAGTAGTATACAAAAACTCTCCTATTAAAGCAAAGTATGTTAGTGTTAGATATTTTTGAGTACACTGTTTTAATTCCCTTGTTTCTTTACCACTTCTTCTTAGTTATTTTTAAGTGGTTGCCCTTCTAATTGCACTTAGCATCCTAACTGAAGACAGTGTGTTACCAAATTAATTTCAATTGTATACCAAAACTGCTCATTAGAATGAAGCTTCATTCCTTTTTACCTCCTTTGTGCTATTCTTTTACACAAAATACAACTTTAGATATTATATGCCCATCAAGACAGATTTATAGTTATTGCTTTAAGCAATTGCCTTATAAATTAGGAGAAAATCACAAAAATACATTTGTACACATTTTTGTATTTATCGATGTTGCATTTATTAGGGTTCTTTATTTCTTCATGTGGTTTTATGTTACTGTCTAGTGTTCTCTCGTTTCAGTCGCGGGGGGGCTACCTTCAGTATTTCCTGTAGGGAAGTCTCACTAGTGGTGAACTTCCTCATTTTTTGTTTATCTTGGAATGTCTTCATTTCTCCTTCATCTTTAAAGGCTAGTTTTGCTGGATGTAGAATTCTTTTGTACTTTGAATGTGTCATTCCAGTGTCCCCTGGCTGCCATAGCTTCTGATGTGAAGCCAGCTGATGTATGAGTCTCTCTACTTTCTTTTCAAAATTCTGTTGGTCCCTGGCTTTGGACAGTTTGATTCCAGTGTGTCTTTGTGTGAATCACTGTGAATTTATTTTACTGGGAGCTTTTTGAACTTTCTAGATGTGTACATTCTTGTTTTTCATCAGCACTCAGCCAGGCGGTTGACAGCTCTTTGTCCTTCACATCTTGCTTGCTCAGAGCCTCAAGGTCAGTCAGAGGTGAGAGCTCAGGGCCTTCTCTGGTCTCTCTCTTGGGCATTTTCACAGCCCTGTGCATGCACATGGTCTTCCAGGTTCCCAGGACTATGCCAGAGCTTTCCAGAGCCTCTGTGGACATCTGATTCTCCAGCCCCTCCTCCTGAGCTTGTCTAGTCTCTTGTCGGCCCAGCTGTGGTGCACTGCCTCAGCCAGCTGCAGCTAAAGTATTTGCTGTCAGTGTTGTCCATGGCTGTGCCTCCAAGCAGTGGCTTCCGATCCCCAAATCCTCCTTTTGGAGACTGTCTTTGGATGAAACCTCCAGCCGGCTGTCTCCCTGGAGAGCGAGGCTTCTAACTGCTCTTGACCTCATCACATATCTGCCCTGTGTATACTGGGCACTGAGAAGCCTCTTCTTGCTGATGGAACTTCAACACAACGCTCCACTTAAAAATGTATCATAGCATGGATCCTAATCACCACTGTTACTACGACTCTCTCTCCACTTTTTATAATTGCTGTTAATAAACTGCTTATAATCCATGCCATCATTCCCACAATACTGATCATTGGTACTCTTAACAGTGTGCCGTCTCACCTGTGACTGTGGCACCATAGGACTGGTGGCAGGTCTTGCCTTGCAGAAGGGCCCCTTATTGCTTCTGGGTTAAGATCAGTGTAGTATCTGTTTTTACCAGAAATGCACTCTGTACGTCCAGGCTGTGTGAACTGGGCAGTGCACTGTGTACAGGAAAGTGTATGTTCAGTCTTGAGCCCCAGCTTTCATCAATGCAGCATCCTGATTTGGCTTGAGATGAATTATTAGGCTCTAGACACACCAGAGAAAGGGTCAGCATCAAATCCATGCCAAAGGCCACTTGGGCTGGTTCTTTACTTGTTCCATTTCCTCTGTGGCCCCTGAGGGCCCTGGTCTCGCTGGCCCTCCTCCTGCTGTGGAAGGCCTGTGTTTCTGTGCTGTTTCCCCTCCCTGCAGTCTGCATGCCCGCAGCCAGGCTCTGTTGGAGGCGTGGCATCAGCTGTGAAGTGAGGAGCGACCAGTGTGCCTGCTGGGCTCATGCCGGGGTGTGATCTCGTGTGGGTTGGCAGGGCCTTGGCACTGTGGGTCAGCGCCACACACTGGGAGTCACCGTCTTGATCTGATGGGCCTGAAGTCCCATTTGGCCCCCAGGGGCAAGAAAACATCAATGTATTTAGAGACCAAAGCAATGCTGTCAGCGCAAGAATGGGGCAGGAGAGTTGAGGGCACCAACATTGGAGAGGTGCCATCGACCCTGGGAGGTAGACAGGGAAAGGGCGGGGAAAGCGGCCGCTGCGAGGACAGCGCAAGGGGCAGTGGGGTGCCGGGGACGGGGCAGTGGAGCAGATGGAAGCAGAGGGCTCGGGTGAAGCAGGTCTGGAGAGGGCCAGCTGCACAGGGTGGTGACCCCAGTGAGACCCTAGCCTGCTCTTCTCTGAAGAAAATGATGGAAATGAAGAAGCAAACCCAGCTCCCAGCCTCATGAAGAGCCAGCCCCCACAGAGCCTGAGCGGCTCCGAGTTTCGCTCTTGATGAGGTTGATGTGGCTGGCAGCAGCCGGGTGAAGCCTCCCTTTTCCCTTTTCCTGGCCTCTGAGCTGATCCCTGCCTCGCCTCCATGGAACTCCTTCAAACTGTCCTCTGGAGAGAGGCCCCATGGGCAGCAGGCCACTCCACCATAGCAGAGCAGGGGCAGTGCAGCAGCTACCCAGGTCCGCTCCGTGACGCCGGCGGCTTGAGAAACAGCCCTGTGCAGGAGAGGAGGAAGCCCGGGATGAGCAGGAAATCAGCCCCAACGGACTTTGTGACACCACTGAATTCACTCAGTGCCGACATGCAGACCTGCCTGGACAGCTGTGAAGACCCAGCAATGAGGAGACTAGAAGCGAACTGAGGCTGGGATCTCTAAGAAGAGAGAAAAGAGACAGAAAAAGCAGCGCGGAGATGAGCGTCGTGCAGGCCCCAGCCAGCCACAGGGTCTCCAGGGCACGGGGTTGGGGAGATGGAGGGCAGGGCTCTGGAGGAGGCGGCAGGTCCACAGGACAAGCCAGGCGACTACAGGCGCCGAGCACGGACGGCTGGGACCCACCTCCTGCCATCCAGAGTACGGGGGCCAAGGGCTGGGGCCAAAGCTTCGAGAGAGCCTGTGGCGTCAGAGGAGCAGCCGGGGCCTGTTGGTGATGCCTGACAAGCACCAAGAGCGAGGGCAGAGCAGGAGGCTGGGGCGGAGGCCACACGAGGGCAGACAGTCTAGAGTGCTGCGCGTTGCGGCAGGGAGCCCCTCAACTGGGATGCCGCTGGAAGCTGATGCCAGCGGGCAGGGTCCCGGGATGCCATTCCGGGTGGGCTGAGCACAGTCAGTGTCACCCTGAGGCATACACGTGATTCCTGAGCTTCAGAGTCATCCTTGGGATGGGCAGAGGATGACAAATCTAGGCTTCACAGCACTTAATGTCAATGCTAATGACCTCAACATGTGAAAGGCAAAGCATAGCTGACAGTGGGGTCACGGATGGGGAGCAGATCGGCAGGGCAGTTGAGGGGCTATGTCCTCCTCCTCTGCCTGCTGGAGCGAGATGATGGCCATGGTCTGGGGTTGGCACCTGAGAGACGGATGTGGTTTCAGCAGATAAGGTACAGTGCAGCCACCATGGTCGCCACTGGTCTGGGGAGCCCAGGCCTGAGGGCTGTCTGTGTGATGGGGTTTGTTGTTCTGTGTGCAGTGTTATACATCTGGTTAATACTGAGTGTGCCACTGAAGTCAGGATAGGCTCTGCCTCCTCACTGTGTGCCATGTGCTGCCCCCGGGGCTCAGGTGGCAGGGGGCAGGTGGGCGGGGGCATAGCCGCACAGCTGGGTCAGCGGACCCTGGCCTGGGCCTCGGAAACCGTGCTACGGTTGGTGTGACCCAGCCCGGGGCTCCCAAGCTGCCGACTTGGCCCCCACAGAGCCTGAGCAGCTCCCAGCTCGGCAGTGCCTGTCCCTTCTCTGCCGTCCTGGCAGTGTCCTCCTGTAGCCTGGGTGGCGGGCAGGAGGCTCCTCACCTCTCCGCCAGGCTCACTTTCCTGTTGGCATCTTTTCTTTCCTCTGCAGCTGCCAAGATGAATGAACTACTGGAGAAATACAAAGTCTTCAGTGATGGCCCACGCAAACGCACAGGATAGTGGGGGCAAGAAGCCCTCTCCTGAGACTGAGTTGGCCGAGGAGTGATGAGCGTGGCAGCAGAAGCCCACGTTGTGCTCTCGGCAGGGACCTTTGGCCCCGTTGGGGAGGGAGAGACAGAGGGGTGGTTTGGTTCAGACAAAAAAAGCCTCAGTTTCTAAGCAGTGGCCTCCAGCCTGCTTTCTGCTTCTCTAGCTCTGCGTCTGTTTCCTCCCGTCTGTCCTAAGCTGCTTAGGTGACCCAGGTCTGGGCAGGCTGGCTGCGGCCCTCCCATCACCGTGGTGGGCCTGGGCTGTGCCCTCTTCCCATCGCTTCACTGCTCCCTGCTGCTGCCTGCTGCGTGTGAGCAGAGTCCCAGCACTGCCTCCCCCGACTGGCCTTAGGGTCCTGTGCAGGACTCACCCCTCTGCCGCCCTCCTTGAGTGCCCCTGGATCCCGCACGGGGTACCTGTTTCCTCCTCCTCCCTCCCGGGCACTCAGCTCTGGGCGGGGGAATTCAGCCTGACTGGTTGTCCAGGAAGCTGCTGTCTGAGCTTCGCAGGGTGACCCAGTATCTCTCTGAGCACTGTGCCTGTCACAGCTGCGTCCCTCCCTCCGAGCACTGGAACAGGCACGCCTGGTGGGGCCTCTGCCTCCTTGGGCCCATTGTCCCACCTGCTGCTGCCTGCCCCACCCTGCTCCCTCCTGGCACCAACTCTGCTTCCCCAAGGTCCCCGTGTGCACACATGGCAAGGAGGCCAGGAGGAGCCAGGTGCCAAACCCCCTGCAGCCCCGTGACTTGAGGCACCTCCAGCCACCACTGTGAGATGGGAGGCCAGGCACGCCTGTGGTCACCACGGTCAGGTGCACCACCAGCTTTACAGGCCAACGGACTCCTCTTGGTTACGTCTCGGTCCCCCAGGAGGGGGCTGGCCCTGCAGTGCACCCACCAACAAGGGCTGGAGTGTCTTGCTCTAGAATGAGGTTCTCAGGGTGCCACTGCTCCCTGGACCAGAAAGGTCCTGGTGTCCTTTCCCTGGAATGGTGTGGGTGGGGCAGGTCCCCGAGCCTGGGGAATCGGGCTGGGCTTCACTCCTCCTGTAGTCCTGGCCCTCCCTGCCCACCCCTTAATATTGCTCGTCCCTGGCAGGGGAAGCATCAGCTCAGCTCCCAGGCCAGGCCCACCTCCCTTCCTTCCCAGCAGCCTCTGCTGGGTACACGGTAGATATGATGGGTCATGACGCCCTTAAAGCAGATAGCATCTCCCCCTTTCGGTGGAAGTGAGCCTGCAAGGTGTGTGAGAAGGCTGCCACATCCCTAGGTTTTTGGGGAGCATGGCATGTGTGGGCACCTCGTTCACACTGCAGAACTCGCTTCGTCCCCACGAGAGGCACATAGTTTCCAGTGATGGGAGACTGAGGGCTGGCAAAGAGGACCTGTTGCCTTTGTGTGACTGGCCCCAGCATGGGGGAGCAACAGCCTGGCGGGGTGGAGGATACGGCCTTCCACACTGCTCCAGCTTCCTGCCTGTGCCTGTGACCAGCTCCGGAACCTGCATGCGGCCCAGGACCTGCTTCCTAATCTGTAAACACGGGGCGTGTGTCCCAGTGGCTGTGAGCTATCGAGGGGGTGGTGAGCGAGGGGGTGGCGTGCGAGCCGGCTTCGCAGGTCCTGCGGCCCCAGGCCTCATTGTTGGCCAACAGGCAGCTGGGGGCGGGCCGTGGCTGCTTATTAAAGGCCGCCTGGAGCAGCCTGTGCGGTGACAGGTGCCCAGAAGCCCAGGAAGCCGGTCAGTGCCTGCCCCAGGTAAGCTGATGCGGTGGGGTTGGAGAGGACAGCCACCCCGGGAGCCTGGGGGCAGGCAGGCAGAGGCCAGCTCGGGGTTAGCACCTGTGCCAGGGACAAGGCCGGGGAGGTGGAGCGCCTGGGGAGCTGAGGCACTGCATGGGCTCTTTCGGGAGGCTGCTTGCCTGCTTCCTGGCGGCTGCTTCCAGAGCTGGAGACCCAGCATGCTATGCCCTAGGTTCCCAGCCAAAGCGTCCCTGGGCTGCAGCTGCCTCTCCCAGTCCCTGCTGGGGACTGCCCCGGGGCAGGCAGTAGAGTGCTCCGAGGCCTGCTTTTTTTTTTTTTTTTTTTTCTTCAGTAGGTGGCAGGAGTGGGGCTGATGCTCCCAGAGCCAAAGGTCACAGGTGCTGGGGTCGGGGGTGGCAGAAGTGAGCACCAGAGGGCTCAGGGCTTTGGCTGGCAGGGGCGTGTTATGCAGCAGGGGCCCCGCTCACCTCAGGGTTTGTGCCTTTTGCTCTGGCAGTTTGAGACCTCGCTATCCCCATTGGAGCATCATCATGTCAGAGGCACCCCGGGCTGAGACTTTTGTTTTCCTGGATCTGGAAGCCACTGGGCTCCCTAGTGTGGAGCCTGAGATTGCCGAGCTGTCCCTCTTTGCTGTCCACCGCTCCTCCCTGGAGAACCCGGAGCGTGATGAGTCTGGTGCCCCAGTACTGCCTCGGGTCCTCGACAAGCTCACGCTGTGCATGTGTCCAGAACGCCCCTTCACTGCCAAGGCCAGCGAGATCACTGGCCTGAGCAGCGAGGGCCTGATGCGGTGCCGGAAGGCTGGCTTCGATGGCGCCGTGGTTCGGACACTGCAGGCGTTCCTGAGCCGCCAGGCAGGTCCTATCTGCCTTGTGGCCCACAATGGCTTTGATTACGATTTCCCCCTGCTGTGTGCTGAGCTGCGGCGTCTGGGTGCTCGCCTCCCCCGGGACACTGTCTGCCTGGACACATTGCCAGCCCTGCGGGGCCTAGACCGCGCCCACAGCCATGGCACCCGGGCCCAGGGCCGCCAGGGTTACAGCCTGGGCAGCCTCTTCCACCGCTACTTCCAGGCTGAGCCGAGTGGGGCGCACTCAGCCGAGGGTGACGTGCACACCCTGCTCCTGATCTTCCTGCACCGCGCCACAGAGCTGCTCACCTGGGCAGATGAGCAGGCCCGCCGGTGGGCCCATGTTGAGCCTATGTACTCGCTGCCCGATGACCCCAGCCTGGAGGCCTAAGCACAAGGGCCACTCCCTGTGCCTAGGGCAGTGCCAGTGTCCACTGTTCAGCCGGCCTCTACCACCGCCGGCCCCTACCACCCCCGGCTCCTTCTGTCTGGGCAGCCTCAGGTCTGTGTACCTGCGAGGCCTTCCCTGGCTGCCTGGCCAGCCACACAGCCCTGGAGTCCTCTCCAGGCCCTGCCTCCGGGGCCGTGCTCCCCCAGCCAGCCTGCGTGCCCAGCAGAGTTTGCTGTTTCTCAATAAACATTGCCAACTACTTACCCTCTGACTTGATGGCCAGATAATCGGGGCTGGACTCTCCCAACCCCGTGCTGAGAGGGGCGAGGCGGGAAGCCATGCCAGGGGCCAGCACAAGACCTCCGGGCCACCCCACTATGGCCTCTCCCCACAGTGAGGTCCGTGGGTAGCTGGGTGGAAGACGTCAGGGCTCTTGGGCTGTCTGAGGGGCTGATGGCTCTCTGCATTGTCGCCCCAGAGGCCCAAAGAAGCCATGAATAGGGCCTTAAGCCCACAGAGCCAGTCACCTGCTGGGGTGCAAAGCCCAGCTGCAGCACTTGCCCGCTGTGGGACCCCGAGTCTGTCCCTGCTCTGTGAAGTGTTAACAGGGTGAAATGCTAAGAAACGGGGTGCTGGGGATAAGGGAGGTGCCCCCACATGTGAGTGTGCACATGTACAGGCTGAGTGCTCTGAGGGGCTTGGAGCAGGGGTGGGTGGCTGGCGCTGTGAGGGCGACACTAGAAGGAGCCTATCCTGAACCGTGAGTCTCCTCTAGGGCCACGAGACTGCTGGGTGGGAGGGCAGCTTCTGGCCACCGCGCTGCGATTCAGGTTCTCTGCTAACCTGCCCCAGGGGCCCCACCCTCAGGCACTCCCAATCTTGTGGGGAGTCCTCATGGGTGGGGAGAGACCTGTCACCAACGCTGGGGCAGGTAAGAAGGGGTGGGGTGGCCACGCCTGAGGGTGACTCACATGAGCAAAGCCAGAACCTCCAGCCAGCTGGGCCATCTGGGAAGTCCTAAGTAGGTCAGAATGACTGGAGCCACTGCAGCTTGCACGGTGGTAGGTTGGTGAGGCCGGGGCACAGGCGGCGGCCACCTCGGTCCTTCCACCTGGGCCAGGCCTGATCCTGAGGGCAGCGGGGAGCCACGGAGGGTCTGAGCAAGAGAGGGGCAAAGTCGGTGTGCGGAGCTGTTCTCCCGTTGCTGTGAAGTACCTGAGGCCAGGTCATTTACAAAGACAGCAGGTTTATTTTGGTTCAGAGGCACCGGCATCTGTTACTGGTGAGGCCTCAGGAAGCTTCCACTTCAGGCAGAAGGCAAAGGGCGAGCAAGAGAGAGGCGGGGCGGTGCCATATTCTTCAATCACCAGATCTTGAGTGGACTCAGAGTGAGAATTCACTCCTCGAGGAGGTGAGGATGGTGCCAAGCCATTCATGAAGGATCCAACCCCATGACCCAAACGCCTCCCACCAAGGCCCCACCTCTAACACGGGGGCGCTCATTTCAACCTGAGATTTGGAGGGGCAGACGTCTAAACCACATCAGGCTGCTGCATGGAGAACGGGCCGGAGAGGAGAGCAATGCAGCGGGGAGAGCCATGGGCCTGGC